ACCAGTGGATTCCTGATTTTTTATACCTCTTGAGGTAAAAAAAAATTCGGAAAAAAACAAAACATAAGAAAAAAAAATATAATAGTAAAATACTTTGAATTGGTTTGAGGCATGGGTGCTTAACATAAACGTTTTGGTTTGAACCTTCATTACTTTAAAGAAACTAAGATTCAAGAATTGGAAAACTACCAAAGAGTGATGGGACAGTAAATTATGTATTTTTTTAGGTATACCTTAAAAAATATCAGCAAAACGTTTGAGGCTAAGAAGTGTCTAACCTAGGATAATCAAGTCCACAGGAAGAAACTCCTCCATTGACTTCACTTCATCCTCTGTCATCTGAAATAATAACAAGTAGATAATTATTACTGATTGATAAATCATTAGACTAGTAAATTCATCAATAAATTAATTAGTAATTAAAAGATTACAGCAACCAACCACGCGAATAGATGACCCTTCGTCATCTGACATTTCCGTTTTATCTCCAACTTCTCTTTCAGCTGGCTCACTGTCTACTTTCTCTGCGTCACCCGGATTCTGTTCCCTCACTGTTGCACCAAATGACTGTCTGTCCATCACTTCTAAGTCTTGTGCATCGATGTCAATGGTCACTGGATGTAGCCTGTACATTTGAGCAGCTTCCTGTTAAGATTCAGTTGACAATGAATGTCCATTAAGCAAATAAACGAACATGCATGAATGTTTTGTAGTTATTTCATGAACCCACAATTACAGAGCAAAATACAATGCCATGTATTTGTAATATTGTAATTTATTAAAAACTAGATCACTGGATAATGCAATTCAAGACTTTTTATTGGCTTAGCCATTATGGTATATCAGCCAATATACCATAATCTACAAATATGGTAAGCGTACGCGTTAGCTTAAAATCAAAAGGGAGCTAAAAAATCCAGTTTCTTCTTACAAAATAATTGTAATATATCATATATCATATCATTAAAAGAGTGCACTAAAACACACCTGAGGGGTGACCCCATCCACTTCAGTATCAGAATCAGCCTCATGTTCAGCTGTGGGTACTAAACACTTCAGTCCATATTCTTCTAATTCTCTTGCAAGCTCCACTGCAAGAACTACAATACCAAAGAAAACGTACTTGATATAATAGGAGTGTGTGCTTTACATATGTCAAGGCTAAATATTGGGAAGCAGAACATGTTCTATAATTTACATAGTATTACATGAGTGTGGTGGATAGGGGTTCACATGTGATGCATAGGTGTGTAATTAGTATAGGTAATCACATGATTTCGAGTGCAATTTGGAATAAATAAGCACAAGTAAATTTTTTCAAAGACTAACAAAATTGCAGGAGCCCATAGAGCAAGTGCAAATTGTGGTCTTTGAAAAAATTTATAAGTGCTTTTTTATTCCAAATTGCACGAGAAAATCATGTGATTATCTACTAATTAAATAACATACATGAAAAAATACGAGGTAGTTTCTCATAACTATGCAGAAGAAAATCGCACGCTTCACATGCACAAATAATTTATTCAAACCCTGCAAGTGACATTGACCTTCACATTGACCAATCATTCTGACCAATCAGAATGTCTGGTTTGTTTCTTTCTTTGCACTGAATTAACCCTCTTCTGCACGGAATTAACTCTCTTCTGCACTGAATTAACTGAAAACTGCATTCATCTTAACCAATCAGAACTAAGAAATTTTTTCATGTATATTGTTAAGCTTATAAATTAATACTTGATGAGTGGATTTTACAGAAAGGCGAGGTCAGGTCAGATTTGAAGTTTCCCTTTTGAATTTGTGACATGTGACTGGGGAATGTTTCTAAAATTTGCATGTAAAACAGAATCAGGAACACCCCCTTCCTTCTCCTTTTGGTATTCTCACATATTCATACAGTACAACTGTGTGTGTTAAATTCAACTCTGTCAGGCTTCATGTAACGAATTAAAGTAAAAGTTATTGCATGGCAAGTACATTTTAAATAAGGGGTACTTTCATGGGCAACACAAGCCCAGAAATAAGTATCGATGCGAAACTTCCACAACTCCCCAACTGTGTACTTGTTCTCCAAATAACCCTTGAGTATGCCAAGGGGCAGACACCCATGTGAAGTGGCCAGCATAATCTCGTGTAATCTCTTGGTGATCGACTGCAGTGATAACCACTTACCTTTTGCCCTTACAAACACTAAAGCTCTTTTGGGTTTGTACTTCAATAACACATGGGCAACACATTTTCCTCCTTGTGTTACAGAGAATGGCATTACCTACAGTAAATGATATATATGTTGTAGTTCAATTTTATACTTGGTTCAAATTTTATTTTCCTTTGTTCTCGGTCATGTTAATGTATGATAATGAGTCTTTTCCATCCACATTTCATAAGAAAAGTTTGAAAATGGATCAATCAAAGCTCTAATAATCTTTTTAATAATTACAAAAACAGTCACGCTGACATTCTCAAAAAGCTTGGATTTGGATGGATTGTAATTGTAGGCCGGACTGTAGAGATTTAGTTCTTATTAACCGATTGGGAGGTCTGTATGGGAGTATCTTGCCCGAGGTCACCAGTACAGACCAAACGCAGTGAGGTCTGTACCAGTGATCGAGGTCAAGATTCTCCCATACAGACCAACCTAGCTCGGTTAATAAGATGTTTATTGTAATTATAACTGAGTCTTGTATGCCAATTTTTATATTCTTTGTACCTTTTTTTTCTAGACCGGTCTAGATGCCAGTCTAGATGAGAAAATCTAGAACGCTTTCAATATTGGTTTCAGCCAATCAAGTTCATGAATTCAGTAGTTCCCAGTCCTTGTGAGACACAGCCATATAATAAAAAACTGTAATAACCTTTTTTTTTTTCATTTCAGCAATTCAGAGAAGGTCCATCATCTGTGGACAATTTTGCAACATTAGCATGGTACCGGTAAGCTAATACCAGTAACTGTAAAAATGAAGTTTTGTTTTAAAGTTTCTCCAAGGTGGAGTAAGTTGACTTACTGTGACTACTTTACAAAAAACAATTAGAAAAATATTAAAAAACTTGATGAATACATAACAAATGGTAGCCCTTATGACATTATAGCATTTAAAAATCACATCTTCAATTTCTTCCAATTCTGCATGCTTTGTTTGAAATTAACTAAGTCACTTCTATATTCAAAACTTACATGGAGTGGTTGATATTTTGTTGATTTTTCTATTTGGGCACTGCAAAATGAAGACAATGATGATTCAGGTATCATATACGCTTGTTACAGTTTCAGAAGTACCACACTAAATTGGTCAACTGAAAGTTAAACACGGTTATTTCATATGCATACAGAGTGAGCTACAACAGGTGGCATCACTGCATCCAAATGAGTATTGTGTAAATACATGGATTTCTTTTGAGATAATTTGTCAGAAAGGTCTACATAATTATGCATAAAAGTGACTGATCTACCTTTTCGCAGTAACCACATGACTTGGTATAGCAACACTTGATGGACTAGACAGTTTTCTGAGTTTTAGACAAGAAGCACACAGGCTAAGCTTTGTACCATTTGATTTTATCATGGACTGTCTCAGGGCTGCTGTTGATTTAAATGATTCCACACGGTGTTAATAACAGAAATATAGAACCATAGAATGAAAATATTATATAGTCAAAAATAGAGTACTATAGGCAACTGCAAACCTGCTAAGCAAAATAAAAACTATTGCCTTGCAAGTTGCTTTCTGATCTTGCACTTTCTCAAAACGCACTGTATGAGCTAATCATACTTCAGATTTTTCAACTATAAATATATATAATTACTAATTATAGTAATAACTGTTACACATTCCAGGCTCGTCCTTCACCGAAGTCAACCATGGCTCTCCATAAAGAAACGACAACTTGAGTTTAAATTTACAAGACATGTTTCGACATTCTCATGTCATTTTCTGTTGCAAATGAGCTTTTAACGGTTGTACATTTGAATTTATATTAAAATATGTTACAAATTACGTGTCAGGGCTTACCTTACAATTTGAATACTAAATACGTGAAAAATCTAAAGAGCACACGCTTGACTAGACCAGAAAATAATAATAATAATAATAATAATAATAATAATAATAAAATAAAGGACCAAGGTACAACATAATTAAAAGGAAAGAGACAATTTTAGATGCTTCAGTTGTTGATTAAGAATGGGTTTTTCCCACTTAATATGCAACGCCTCTTTGATCTTAATTTGGTATTTTGAAGCGGCAGAATCTAAGATCGTGAAACATTCTGTATCACAAGAGTCATGACAGGCCCTTGAAAATGTAACGTAAGCCCTGACACGTAATTTGTAACGTAACTTTATATAAATTCAAATGTACAACCGTTAAAAGCTCATTTGCAACTGAAGATGACCTGAGAATGTCGAAACATGTCTTGTAAATTTAAACTCAAAGTTGCCGTTTCTTTATTGAGAGTTATTGTCACTCTGCTGTCTTTACGTCCATTAGTCAGCCATAGCATTGTATCTGTTGAAATTACCTGCATGAAAAACTGTTGCTGTTCTGAGAAGTCGAATCCCAGACCAAGTTCTACAACAACAAGAACGAATTAATCTCAACCCACAAGTACGAACCGCTACGTCCGCCATCTTGGATGTGTATAACCACAAAGGATCGATGGGAAATTTTCGACTATCTCAACCCCACACCTGAGGGGAGATTTATGCCACTCTCTTCCAGGGGAGGGGTAGGAGTATTATTATTATTATTTTTTTTATTTATTTATTTATTTTTTTGACGCCCAGATTTTGAATAAGGAAAAATCTTTATAATGGCGCGGCCTAAAAGCGAATGTAAACATGTTATAAATGACTAAAGAGACTATTCAAGAGTCCATTTTTCCACAATTGTCAGGTTCAAAGTTAAACTCCGGCAAAAAAAAAAAACAAAAAAAACAGTAACATGCAAATGTTCTTGGTAACGCACGCAAACACTACTGTTGTCAACCAGTGACGTTGACAATGATCAGCGTGACCTCAGAGTAGAGATTTACAAAACTTTACCGATCGAGTGGGAACTTCTCGAGATTGAGAGGTTTGGGAAAAATACACTGGTGTTAATTTGAAAAGTGAATGTCATCTAACTGTGAAAACGAGAGCCTTTTCGGCTGAATGATAAATTTGTGCGGGATAATTTCCTAGCCATAAGGAGACAATTTGTTAGAGACACTGCAGTCTTCGATAAAGATGGCCGAGAACGTACGAGTTGCCGTCAGAGTTCGACCATTTATATCCTTTAAACCGTTTGTATCGCAGTGAAGGGTTGTTGTCATAATCCGTCTACCTATGCTTTCGCAAATATTGGCCTCCGATTCTTAACATCTGTGTCTGTGTATGTTATTTGTTGTTTGTATTTTGCAATTCAATCGAGAGTCGGCGTACCGTATATCATCTTTCATTAACTAATTACCCAGAGGATAACAGGTGGTAGACCGTTTCGAATAAATCACGAATTAAATTTCCTATTAAACGGAGAACAACATCGTCATAAATTTCCTAATTTTGATTCATTTTGCTTCAGAAAACGGCTTTATTTAAAATAAAGTGCATTATATATTGGACTCTCTTTAATGCTCACAAATTTGCATTCAGCAATCAATAGAACAATATCTGTTGAATGCTGCTTTATGCTGAATGACAACTTACGACGTCCAAATTATTATAAAAGACAAACTTTATAGATGTTCATAAATACACAAGGCTTATACTTAAACAGGCTTAATGGATGGGTCTCATTAACAAAGTTCTGTAGATCGTGCCCAGCAATTCATTTCTTTTGAAGCAGCCTGAGGGGTTAATTAAGCATTTCATGGTCACGAATGCCAGTGCTAACGAAAAATTACCCTTCCAATTATCTAGAGAGTTAATTTTAGTTTATTGTTGTTGAGAGTGTTCACAAGCCAAAAGGTTTTTTTCACCCTTAAACTCCCATAGGTGACCATACAGAATTTTCTCCTCACATAATCACTACAAAATCAAGGTGACAACTGATGAGAATTAAGAAAAGTATCAAGTTGGAGATCATTACATGTGCTTTTTGTTTTTTATTTCATTTTTGACTTTTTTTAGCATGATTACCTGGTTTTGCTTTTTGTTTTTTCTTCTCTGCTTTTTGTTTTTGTTGATGTTTTTGTTAGTCTCTTTTTTTCTTTCCAGGTTGCTTAGTTTGTTTTCGTTTTGCAGTGAATTAAGGCAGCATGACAGGGCAATAGGAGGAGGGGAAGGTCAGCTGACAGACCAAACATGTTGCATTCAAGCTGAATCCTTATTGTGAAACTTAGGTTGTGGAAATTTTCTCTGACACAACAGCATGTGCCTCCCAGCTCATATCCAGTCACATGTATGACTAAATCGTATGGATGTTGTGCTCACTAAGTATGGTTATTGAAATGTTGTGTAAATGTCCTTAACAGTTAACACAATTCTCGCGAGAAAGCTCGCGCAGCAGTGTTAATTATCAAGATGCAGGGTAACAGTACGTACATCTCAGATCCAGGAGCCCCAGTGGGGGACGAACCAAGGAAGTTTGCCTTTGATTTTAGTTACTGGTCACATGATGGATTCAAAGAACTTGATGATGGCTATCTTGCAGCTGCAGAACCCCATTATGCAGACCAGGTGGGGAAATTGGCCCATTTGTTTGAACTACATTTTTAAAACTTATTCTAAAGGAGCTTTAGTATGTCAGAGCTTGTGACTCCCTTCTGAACCTGTGGGTCTTTAAGTTTATAGTCAATTATGAAGAACCCTAAAAAATTTTAGTCCAATTTTTTTTTCCAATCAGTCCTTTCCTATTACCATAAACAATGCCTTCAGTCATTTCCATTGTGGTATTTTTCTGTTTTTACCAAATTGATATCAGAGAAGGCTAATAGTATCTGCTAAAGGAAAGGCGCAACTTTGCCATAAATGACTCAAATTGCATTGACCTTCGATCTTATTAATAATTATTTTTCTTAAAACATATTGTATTTTGTCTTACTTTTAATTACCACTTTCATGTAATTAAAAAAAATAATTTGTGTATTGTCACCTTGATTTGATTGAAATATCAGTCTCCTAAATTTAATTTTAATTTTTTTTGTGAATTTCTACAAAAATGGTTAATCCCAGTCAAAGGGGTAATAGAGTTTTCTCTGAGCTCCCCTACCAATTTTGAGATTTCTGTTGGCTTACCATACATAATATGTATCTGATATTTCCAAGAATAGCCACACATGGAAAGTCAGTTTAGTGCTGGGATAATTGAACTATACTTGACTTCTTTTTATGTTACTTTGTAAACAAAGCAAGACTTGATTTGAGTTCATTTTTATTATAGCTGTAATTCTCTATTTTGTTGTTTTATTTTGTTTTGTTAATTGTGTGTTTTAATTACCACACAGAAACGCGTGTTTGATGATCTGGGACGAGGAGTGCTTGAAAATGCATGGAATGGATATAACTGCTCGCTGTTTGCATATGGTCAGACTGGCTCAGGGAAATCTTACTCCATGGTTGGTTATGGGCAGAACAAGGGTAAATATTTAAAAATAATGCATGTAAATGGTGATTTAAGGCCTGCATCCTTGCTCCTGCTGTGGAGTATTGGGTGTTGACCATCAATGTCCCTACCAAACCCTGTTTTGGCAATTGCCTTTTTGCCTCTCCCCAGTTGATGTTATTCTTTTCGAGCTCATCTTGAACAGTATGCCTCAGTTATCAGACAGTTATTGTTATATGTGTGTTACATGCTTCTAATGACATTTGTTAAATTTATGCAATGTAATGTCACACAGGTATTGTCCCAATATTTTGTGAGACATTGTTCAGTGAAGTGGAGCAAAAGAGGAGTGGAGGGTCAGAAACAGAATACCAGGTATTTCAAGTAACTTATGATTTACAAAAAAAGTTGTCCATAGTTGTAAAGAACAATTCATTGCTGCTCCAGTCAATTTCCCCATTGTCAAATACAGTAAATCCTCTATTAAGCCCCCTTTCTTTAGAGGAAGAAATTTATCAAGCCCCTCCCCCATTAAGCCCCCACCGCTCGCCTTAAAAGAAACAAAAATTCACAATAACAGTCCATGTCAGTAGGTATGATAATTTATTCAAGTAGTGTAATTTTAGTTTGTCGTTAAAAATTGATTATAGTGATTGATTGATTGATTGATTGATTGATGTTATCCTGTTGGCATTAACAGAATATATTATACGGAATTACAATTGGGAAAATAAGAGTGTAAAATGAGAACAACTTTTGAATAAATGATACATCATATCCTATTGTATCCTGGTAGTGAACATCAGGCTAAATTAATATGCCCCCCCGCCCTCTAATAAGCCACCCCCTCCCCCTGAGTGCCTGAAATAAATAAGCTCCCAGGGGGCTTATTGGAGGATTTACAGTAAATGTTACTTGTCTAGCTAGTGATCCTGATAGACAGTGACCACCGGTGACTGAAATGTTAGTTGAGAGTCTTGACTCAAGATTGCCATTTCTCAGTTTCGCAAAGTTTCAAGAATGATTTTATTCAAAGAATTCTCGTATTTCTGGAAAATGAGAGGTGACTTGCCTTGGTCCGAGAAGTTTTTTGTTGTTAGATAATCTAAGTATACGTGTAATGCTAGATTGTTGAAATTTTGAATTGTTAAATTAAGTCCTTTCATCTTCCATTCCAGGTTACATTTAGCATGCTTGAAATCTACAATGAAGCAGTAAGTTACATTTACATATTCGTTACATACAAGCACTCTGGTAATCCTTGAAATTTGATTGGCTCATAGCAGTGTAATTTATTCACGCATTGCCCTATTTTTTTTGGCTCTAAATAATGCCTCGCCTAGAGAATGTACTAACCAAGGGAACCAAGAACAATATGGAGAAATCTGATAGTAAAGCGCAAAGCGAAATCAATAAAGCAAGACATTTCCATTAGACCTTAACTACTTAACTGCTTTCATGAAATTTATTGACTGTTGTTGGAGTCGCATGCGAGACCCATCGAAAACTTTAATTTACAGTATGAAGTAGACTTAATTTCAGCCAGTGAATCAAAATAACTATGTTCTAAAGGCAGTGCTTTCGTTTTTTAAACAACTTCATCATTCTTTTTCGTCGCATGCAGGTCCGTGATCTTTTGAATCCGGCGAGTAACAAGAAAGGAGGACTAAAAGTGCGACAGCATCCTTCCAAAGGGTTCTACGGTATGAGAAATAGCCTCCTTATCGATTTAAAATGGTATCCGAAATTTTACTGTAATAGTAAGGTCCAATTTTAGTATGGTTAGGTCCTGAATCTTGAACCTTCACTTATAATAACTTGCGCTGGGGGCAAAAAAATTTGTGGACAGAATTGCGTATGCTGATGCATACGTTGGCATATTTACAGAGTACTCTCTCTTTGTTCTTACATACTCCTAGCAAGATCATTTGACCTCATAATGCAAACGCTTTCGCTGCAAATCCGGTATTAATTTTTGTGCTTAGCTCTTAAAAGTCACTGAAACCTTTCAACTTGTTGAATCATTTTCGTCTTTACTGGAATGTGAGTGTCCGTGACAAGTCTGAAACGTTTTGCCTTTTTTTTTCTCACTCAGTCGAGAGTTTAGTTAGTGTCCCTGTTAAGGATTACCCTGACATTGAAAGTCGAATTGAGGAAGGAACAAGAAACAGAACAGTGGCCGCTACTAATATGAATGCTACGAGCAGGTATGTGAGAATCTTTGCTGAGTACGACAAAACTGATGTAAATTGGCAGCCCTCCAAATAGAAAAACGGCAGATTCTAAGATTCTTACTCGCCCTACATGTAAGTTAAAAATGTCTTACTAAACCATTATTCTCAAGAAAACTGATATCTACCTTCCGATAACCCATTCGTAAGAGTAATTGACGATGAGGCTTGATTGGCTCTTTGTCGGGTCTTGCCATATTAGGGTGTGTTGAACTTGAAATGTGACTGGATGATGGTGCCAGACCTTCCTCACCTCAAGTGTATTTTTTTTTTCGTGAACATACCGTACGGCCGGAGAATTTTAGGATTTGTCAATATTAGGTCTTTTCGCAATAGCTCTTTAATGAATAGCGTTTTTTTTTAATGTTATTTTATATAGTAGTAGTAGTAGTAGTAGTCTTTATTTCCACAAGATAAAAAATACATATCTTATGTTACAATATTTGGGTAAAAAGTATATATAAAATATCTAAATATATCTAAAATATAAACTCACACAGCTAAATTGTATTTAAAAATTAAGCGATTAATGAAAGAGTTCTTGAATCTATCTGTATTAACTTTCGGATACTGACTTGTTCGATACCTTAAATTGTAAGTCGATACTTTCCTCTCGGGTAATAATCCCCTTAGAGGGTGTCGGTCTATGCCAGATACCTTACGAAATACTTTTCTATCCTGCTTTTCCAGAAGGTGTTTAATAGAAAATGATTTAGATATATATTTACGTTTGTGACATCTATCCAGAAAACACTGCATTTTTCATTTTTTTTACTTTTCTATCCTGCTTTTCCAGAAGGTGTTTAATAGAAAATGATTTAGATGTATATTTACGTTTGTGACATCTATCCAGAAAACACTGCAATTTTTATCTCGTAGCCGTGCCCACACAATCGTTGCCATAACCTTTAGTCAAAAAGGAGCAAATGCAGCCGGACAAATGATGACTAAAACGTCCATTGTGAATCTGGTGGACCTTGCAGGAAGGTTAGCGTTATGATTTCCATTAGAGTAACTTTCAATTGAGTGTCGAAAGTCATTGTTTTTGCTCATTCTTGCTCTATCAGCCAATCAGATGCAAAACGACAGAGCTGAATAATGAATGCAACACCAGAGGGTATACGGTCAACAACGCGGGCTCAAGTGTTCTAGGTCTATAATTTAGCGAAATTAGCGAAAAATAATAAGGGATGACTTTTAGAACCGAGGAACTCTGTTTTCGTTGAAGGCATTTTCTTATTACTAGAGGTTTTAAGGATAAAATTAATTTTTGAAAATTTTTATGGAGTGTACCAAGTTTTTGGAGGTTGTTCAGTAAACGAAAAGCGGCAAGGAAAACGACGCCTCGAAGCAACAGAATAGCAAATCAACCATGCGAACGACTCAAAATCTGTGTTTCCGCAGCAAAACCTGGCGCATGCGTATACGTTATTCAGCTCTGTCATGCAAAACTGAAAGCAATCAAGACTTGGTCGTCCGCGTTTTCCGCGCTTTAGGCTGTTTGCTTGGTTTTAATACTGAATTTCTGTTGGCCCTTTAAGGTATTTTCCTTTCATCTGATTGGTCATTTGAGTGTCGAAAGTCATTGTTTTTGCTCATTATCGCTATATCAGCCAATCAGATGCAAAACTGAAACCGATCAAGACTTGGTCGCCCGCGTTTTCCCGCGCTTTAGGCAGTTTGCTTGGTTTTAATACTCTTGAGTTTCTATTGGCTCTTTAAGGTATTTTCCTTTCATCTGATTGGTCATTGAGATTCTCAATCGAAAAGCGCTTCATATATAAACTCCGAAAGTTGGGATTGTGTGATGATGTGTCAAACTATTTCAAGTGTTTTACCAGCTTTAATGCGAGTTACAGACTTAGAACGAAGTACTCTTCCGTTTGAGGCCATTAACAGGAGATTTCATAATGTGTCTACGTCAAATTGTAACCTTACTCCAGCAGAGCCAAAGAATGAGAAAAACGAGTCAATTTGCATTGGAGTGCCTCATTGGTGGTGATCCGTTTTTGTCAGTAGAGATTGTAAGACCAGTTTACCGTTGCCCCTCCCTTCTGCTACAATGATGCAGAAATTTTAGTTTGATTCAGTATACTTGGCTCCCACACTAATGTAGCATCTTTTCATTTTTAGCGAGAGAGCAGATTCCACCGGTGCCACAGGGGACAGGTTAAAAGAGGGATCAGCGATCAACAAATCTCTTTCCACATTGGGCAACTGTATTAAAGGTGTATGTCTACACGTGTATATATTTGTATCACGCGTTACTTCTGTAGTGCATGATTTTGACTTGAGGTTTTTGATACTGCGCTCGGCAATTTCTCGTTCCGTCTGCAGACGGTGAGTTCGTTTTTTTTTTTTTACCCGTAAATTCATTTGCGTCAGTCTCTAATACTTACTGTACATTAATTTTTAGCGCTTGCCGATCAAGCATCCGGGAAAAAAGGCGCACAAGGTGAGTCACTCGAATAACTAACAAGATAACACGAAATAGAAGAACAAATGCTTCAGTTTAAGAGTTTGACCACTAATAGTTACAAGCGTCTAATTTCTCCTTACAATATCACCCTTGAATCACACGTTAGGTTCAAGAGAATAAAGGAAATGATCACCAACTAAGAATTTCTTGATTGTTAAACAAATTCTCATTGTCCGCGCCTTAGAAAATGTACAGATAACAGTATGGAGAATATGCATACTGATGTTAGGGTGTAAAGGGTCAACCAACAGTTAGTTTTCCTTTCCGTCTTTTAGTTCCTTTCCGTGATTCTGTGCTCACCAAGCTACTAAAAAATGCCTTGGGAGGCAACAGCAAGACAATCATGGTATGTTAAAAAAATCTCTATCTGAAAGAAAAGATACGAAACAGACACAGACATCTACTCTACGAACGCTCTCGTAGTAAATACCATTTATCCTTTTTTTTCCAGTAGGTTTTCATGGGAAAAATAAATCTTCAGGCGGTCCATGACTTAGTGAATGTTCTTTCACTCAAACGACAGGAATTGATTGGTAGCCTTTTTTGCCGACATCCGTTCGATAGACTATTCATAGCTAATTTCAGCGGAATTAAGATATCCCTAACCTGGAATTGGAACTTCCCTCTCTTACCCTCATTTGCTTTTGACGAGATTTAAGATCAAGCTAACAAAAAGGTTTAGAATAAGGATTAAGAAAAGGATAGTAATATTTCTCGATGTTATTACTTTTATGTGTACAGATTGCAGCTCTAAGTCCGGCCGATATAAACTTTGAAGAAACGTTGTCTACTTTACGATTTGGTGAGCTGTAGTTCTTTGTATCTTTCTTATCATTTTCCGTTTTTTTTCCTGTGAAACACATTGAAATCGAAACAATATTTTGGTGTTGTAAATTGGTCGCCATAAACAGTTTCTGAAGCTAACGTTTCGAGCGTTAGCTCTTCGTCAGCTTTGGAAACTCTCTACGGGGGCCAATTTATATTATTAACTCAGTTTCTAAAAAAACCAAATTATCTCCAAATTATCACACACACACACACACACACACACACGCACAGACACACACACGCACAGACACACACACGCACAGACACACACACGGACACACACACACGGACACACACACGGACACACACACGGACACACACACACATACCGACGCAGCACCTTTTTTTTTTTTTTTTTTAGAAACTTGCCCCCTTTAACATTTTAGTGTCGTTCTTTTGGTCAACTTTTATTTAAGAGACCTGTAAGAATATGTTTATGCCATCTCGTGTTCTGAGAGTGGAATGTCCTTTAAGTCTTGATCGTCCAATGTCTTGAATGATCAAAATGTTAGGGTCACTTAATCACTTCCCCTTTAGCAGCACTATTGGTCAACAAGGCCCCAAGCCCAGATTTTGCATTACTGGTCTGCTTGCAATTTCATTCCACAAGTTTAACGCTCTTACAAATTTGTAATTTTGTGGAAGCTAACAAATTAGTGGACACAAAACAATAGACGCTTCTATCGCCGAAGAAGTCGAACTGATAACTCAACGTTTTGTTTTTAGCCGACCGTGCCAAGGCCATTAAAACTAAAGCTGTTGTCAATGAAAGTCCAACTGAAAAACTGATTCGTGAATTGCGTGAAGAAAACCAGAGACTCCTGGAGCAGTTAAAGCAGGGTGGCGGGGCAATCATAATGCAAGGAGAACCCGGCCAACCACAGACGTCAGGAGTCTCAGAAGAAGGTTTTATAACTTGTTTTTTCTTCTGTGCATTTGAGGCCCTTTATGTACCCTCGCTTGCATGCAATGATGTTACCTAAAAGTGTTCAGTTAGCCATGAACGACGAGACCCAACGGCTTTATGAGTGCCCAAGTACATGATAACCACAATTAGTCGCACATGGTTATCTTTTTACTTTTTCCAGAAATAAAAAAATTATCATAGCAAAGATTTGCTTTGAATGATGGAAAAAGTAAAGCTGTTGGTTCTCATCGTTCATTGATCATGCTTTTTGGGTGTTAACGTTTTTGCAATCGAGTGTAGCATAACATTAAGTGTATTGAGTGCTGCTTTTGATGTAACTCGTTAAAGCGAAACACATGTAGTTTAAAAGGAGCGAAAAGAAACGAAAACTAGTGTTATTTTCATATTTTAACATGGTTTCCAACAGCAAACTCTATCACACAAATTGTGGCCAAAACACAGTACGATTAACGCCTTCTTTTCAGAATTACAAAGAAAAACAAAACAAACAAAACAATCAAACAGATGGACATCCATGGAAGCAAACTCATTATTTTCAGGACAGCAGAGGGCTTAATTAAGAAGTCAAGGCGACCTCCTTTGGCCTTCTCAGATCCTAAGTAAACAGCTCTGGTGTAAATTTGAATCGCGCGCTGTAAATGTATATTCTTTACTGAATAAACAAGCCAATTTTGATTGAGTTTAATTTTGATTTCTAGAGGTGAATGAAATGAAAAAACAAATGGAAGAGCAGGTATGTGGTATAAGAACCTCTTTCAGGTCTTTGCTCAAGGAGAATAAGGATGTTTTTAATTTCATCCGTCTTATACTCTGAACATTCAACAACTGTTTCTTGATGTCTTGGAGAATAAAAAACTGATAGAGATAACAAAACGAACTGATGATAATACTAATGACAAACAAGCAAACAAAATGGGTATCTCAACAACGATCAAACGAACCAAACTAGTGTTACCTTCAGCTTCAGACAATAATACAGTGCTCCCCAAGATATGTAAGTTCTCCCCAAGTCGGTTTTTATTTATTGCCGGGGGGGTTCTGTAATTTCCTATTATCTCCCCTTATTTTACAGTTGGTATCAATTTTCTATATTCCCCCTTTGTACTCCGTCGGTGATGACTGACCCCCCCCCCCTTGTTCCCCCCTTTAAACCATGTGATCGCCAAAATTCCCCCACCTCCTCTCCTAAGGTGATGTATAATGACTGGTTCCTAAAGAAAGATCTGCGCACTGCACCTTTGAGTGACAAGGATTTTGTTTACGTAAATGTTACAGCTCTTACAAAATCAGCGGGAGATGGAAGAAATGAAGAAGTCTTGGCAGGAAAGATTGGCCGAGCAAGAGGCAGCAAATAAGGTGAGGTTGAACCACTTCCCTGTTGTTACAGAAGTCGCTCCCTCAATTTTAACACCTAACTTTTATGTTCATTTTACACACTCATTCCCACCCCTGCATACGCTTTGTTCCTTTTTTACCCACTGATCACGAGATTGCTCATCAGTGGAGTGGGAACCCATTTTCATGGGATCCCATACATCAACACCAAGGGAAGCTACAAAGGTTGCTAGTGAAACTACTGATTAATATATTTAATACTATACAAACGAAAGATTGGCCGAGCAAGAGGCAGCAAATAAGGTGAGGTTGAGCCACTTCCCTTTGTTTCCTTCTGTCGTGTTACCGGCTATGAGTTAGATATCAAATTTGATTATGGACACAAAATGCGTTACATTTTGGGGCAAGGAAGTGCACTAATACTTTTTTCATTAAACCTGCTACGATTATATCTCGAACATTTTTTTTTTTTTGTTGAACACGTTTTTAATAATAAATATTTTGGCTGCTTGTTTGATCTTAGAAAAAAAAAAAAAAAAGCATTCCTTGACGATTCAGTTATTACTCGAATATGTGTTTTCTTGAATACGTTTTCGATAATTGCCAAAAAATAATTTTGCTGCTTGTTTGATCTTAGATAAAAAACACACCTAGACGATTCTTGGTCTCTGGGTCTCATTTACACGTTACTCATCTCAAGGAAACCTTATTGGGTGGATACTTCTTAACAAGAGGCTTTATGCCTATGTTGTTGTTGTTGTTGTTGTTGTTGTTGTTGTTGTTGTTCGAGTTAGCTCCTGTTAGTGGGAGTTTCTTTTCATCAGGCTCACGGTACCTAAGTGTTTTCACGTACATTATACACAGGCCAAAGAGGAACAAGAAAAGAAAGAAAAAGAGCTTCGTAAAACTACTCCGCACTTCTGGAACCTTAACGAGGATTCGCAACTTTCAGAAAAAATTTTCCACTTTATCAAACCAGGTTTGTTTCTCTACGAGTTGGCTTGCATTTAATCATGTCCTTAGGAAAACTGAGCTCACTCTGTGTATTGTGCAAAGAGAATATGAACTGGCTCATATTCTCTTCATTGTGCAGAATTACAAATCTTCCTGCTACTGCTGTTGTGCGATTGGTTTCCTTTTTATCTTTTTTTTTTTTAACGTTTTGACCAGTAAGAGTGAGTAACACCCAATTCCTCGTTACAAAGTCACCCCTGAATCAAACATTAACGTCATGAGAACAAAGGAAATGATCACTAACGAAAGAAACTCTTGATTGTCAAACAAACTATCTTTGTAGGCGCCTGTGGAAATTTATGGAGAACAATACAGATAATATGCATACTGATGTTAGGGTGTAAAGGGTGAATTCTGCTTTGTTGGCTCTGTACGAATATATGGCCTAAATCTAATGAAATTCGTGGCCAACATTCTTTATTTCGTCGCAGGCGTACAGAGAATTGGAAACAAAAAAGCTGATCCCCAACCTGAAATTATATTGAGCGGTTTGAGGTAAGACGCAGAGTAACAAAGGCCGCTTGCCTTTCTGTTATTTATCACACTTTAAGCTTTCTGGTAATTTTAAGTCAATTCTCAAAGTATCCCTGGATGAGGATCATTTATGGTAAGTAAAAGACACCCAGAAGTCCATAAGGGGTAAACTCCGCGCAAAGTTACATCTTTCTTACGCCGTTTTCCTCGATTTTACAAAACACCTTTGTTCTGAAAGGTGAGGCACTAAGGATTTATTCACAGACTGAAACGACAGTCCAGCTCATGAGGTAGTCGATCAACCCGAGAAATGTTGACAAAGACAACGATAATCAAAATTTTAATGTTGACGGTCATACTATGCATGATTCCTTGGTAGCTAAAGTAAAGCAGCGAAGAATGTTGTTCTCATGTTGCCCTAGTCCTGATTTGACCCGCAGAAAAGTAGACAAAGTAAAGCAAAACTGTCAGTGAAGAATGAAAAGCGAAAGTGTTGTGAATGAGTTTGTGGGTGTTGGGAAGGGAGGAACATTGCATTCATGCCAAATATTGACTTCCCATGCAGCTCTGTTCTTAGCGAGAATCAGAATGTTAAAGTTGTTAGTTGATGACATTGGAAAAGGTTAAAGGGAGACCTCCTTGTGCTTTAGTCGTCTCCGAAAACATTGTTAAGTTAAAGCATATCACTTTGTTTTGTCCATAGCATTCTTACAGAGCACGCCTCAGTGACATATAAAGGAAACAAAATCACAATACTCGCCAATGCCAATGCTAAACTGATGATTAATGGTGAAGCAGCGCATGAAGAGAAAGAACTTCACCATAATGACAGGTAAAGCTATGGTTGAACTGTTCCACGCATGGCGTGTTGTTTGGGAGAGGAGAATGAAATGGGGTTTAGAGCCATGGGGAATTGCCGTTTTCCGCAAAGAATTTGTATCTGCAATCTTGCTCTGTCACTAGATCTTTTCCTATTTTGCATTTTTGTCTGTTTAGTTGTGTTTTGCTTCATCTGCTGGTGTGTTCATTTGTCCGTCCCTTTTACTTAACTACTCGATGTGCGCCTCTTTTCGTCATGAGCGGGTGAATCAGTCAGCCATTCATACTTATAGGTCGCATTTTTGGTCTGTTTGTGTGTGTGTTTGTTTATCTTTCCTTTTATTTGTTTACTCCACTTGTTTGCGTTGTCGTTGTTGGTCATGTCTTTGTTAGTCAGTCAATCACTCAGACAGTCCAAAAAATTCACGTCATATTTCCAAGCTCACCTTGTTTCTCTACTTGTTTTTTGTTTTGTTCTGTTTTTGCTTGTTTGTTTGTTTTAGCGTTATGTTGCTTTGCTTGGTTTTTACTTGGTTTGCTACATGTTGATGATATTTTCTTGATAAACCTTGACACTAAACCGAGGAACTTTTAACTGCAATTTGAAAACCATCGACACAAATCGATGAAAATCAGTCGATCTTAAGCTACCGTAACGCCCTTATTGTGACAAATACATGATATTTTAATATATTAAATATATATATTAATATTATTATATATTATTATTATATATATATATTATATATATATTATATATTAAATCGATGAAAATCAGTCGACCTTAAGCTACCGTAACGCCCTTATTGTGACAAATACATGATATTTTGGATGAATTGCGACGAGCTATGCTGTGAAATTCAAGGTTTTTTCGATGTTTTATTTCATTTAGATTGTTGTTTGGCTCTGCAACTTTGTACGTGCTGCATCATCCTGTTGAATTCGAGAAGAAAAAAAAACAGGGAATCAAAATAGAAGAAGTAACTTATGACTTAGCACAGGAAGAAATAGCAGCAAGTTCTGGCTTTAACATGGGGAAGAACAGTGGCCAGACCAAAAGTATGTAATCTGCTCATTCACTTATACTCGGTTTACCTAAAGAGAAATTTTACATTGAGGATTGCCTTTGGTTTTACTAAACTTTGCTCTGTGATTGGTCCAGAAAACTCATGCCATTCTCTCAACAAATCAATGCAAAATTGAAAACAATCATAATTAGGTCGCCGACGTTTTTCCGCGTGTTAGGTAGCTTGCCAGTTTAAACTTTGAGTTCTCAACGGCTAGTGATAATGTACACCTTTGCTGGGTCGCTGATCACTGGGATTATTCTGGTGTTGTTTTTTTCGACTCTCAATTGAAAAACTGCTCCAATCGCCACTGGGATCGTCTCAATCTCCCGTCAACCGTGACCGTTATAGAATATGAAAACACTACACAGACGATCAGTAACTCTCTAACGACCACTGAGTGACTAGAACGGTTATGGCCTCTCTCTTGCTCTCCTTCTTTTTGAGGTGAAGGACGATCGTATTATATTCCTCTAAAAACTCAATAGAAATTCTTAAGACATGTTTGTAATTTAAAAGCAGCTACCACTATGGTTAAGTCGTCTCTAAAATTCAGGACTCATTTGATAACTTTCGCTCTAAGGCCAAAGAGTAAATTCACACACGTACGCGCAGTTCTAAGATCATGAGAGCTCGGGAACTTGTAAATATCAAGCTAAATTTTTCAATAATATGAGCTGATGGTTTTTGTAGATGAACTGCTCTTACAGGAGGATCTAGTACAGATGGTTCCTATGGTTAACGAGTCCAATGCAATGGCAGAAGAACTCAAAAAACCGGTAACTGCGTAAAGATAAAATAGTTGATTGTATAAAGGGAGAAGTAAAAATAAGTTGCACTTGTTATTTCAAGGTCGTCTCACTGGTAACAACTATTCGGGGAAAAGAAAAGATGAAACAAAAACAAAAGATGACTGGAAGAAGGGTCCCATAAATGTTCCGTCGGTCGAGCCGTTTTAAAGAAGACGAACATGTAACGTTGCAACAAGGCAACAGATACCCCAGAAACAGCATGCTTTAAATAATTGATTAGCATCAAACTGAATTAAGGCTGCCTTGAATTTTCATGTCCTTGTTGGATTTAAAGGGCCCTTGTTAGTCCTCATGATTCTTAGTTAAATAATTAACTGCAGAATACAAAAAAAAATATGTTACCCATGTTGTTGTTTTTGTTGTTGTTGTTGACTTGACTTGCATACCGACATGCCACCCCAAACACCTTGTGTGCTTATTAAGGCAATGTTCAAAATGTTCAAGTAGTTTTTATCATTATTTGTTGCAGGTTAAGTTTGAAATTCTTTTAGTTTCACCTCAGGCGCGTGGTCTCAAGGAAGGAAGAACAGAGGTATGAGAAAAAGTGAAACTATCTCCGAAAGGCAAAGGAAATTATCATCGATTATCATCATTATCATAGTTTACCTGTGAACTAGCTGATTAGCTAAGCGTAAACTCCACGTTAAATAAAGTATTAGTGTCAGTAGCATTACCATTGTTCAGAAAAATTCTCCTAGTGGCTCGAAAAGGCATGGTTGTAGTTGCTGAAGCCGAAATGTCACGTCAAAGACCTCACATTATTGAGGAAGTCAATCTATGGAACTTCACTTTATTGGCACCATTTTTCAACTTAACTGAACCAGACCTGGTGCTTTTCCTTTGCAGGTGAACGTGAAAATGAAAAGCACCGTTGATGATGCGGAGTGGACCTGGGACAGAAACAAGTTCATCAACAGAACGTACTTAATGAAGGAGATGTTCCAGAATTATTACGATGGAGAGGAAGACTGGGATTTGCCAGAGGTCTGTTGGTCTTCGGTTGTATGTTCTGCTCTACTCGGGATTAAAATAAACTTTATTGAGGAAATACAGCAACAAAAACATTATTACTTCTCTCTTATCATTCAAATGATTATACGAGATGAATAAAAAGCCAAAAAACCGAAAAACCAAGGGAACGCTACTCAGAATAGATAATGTATAACTGACCGGGTTGTGTATAAAGAAAGTTGTAGATCGAATGGCAATGAAGGGATAGGAATGGAATAAATAAAAAGAAACGCTATTGCAAACTACGATATGAATCACAACATTTTATTACTAGTTTGATATTCTTTCGACGCTTACAAATCGACGATGAGCCTAGTGACTTCGTACACGTCACGATCAGCACCGTCGAATAATTCGTCTTAAAGTGTTTTTCACAATTTATTACTTTCCTTTATTGACTTGTTTTGTCAAGAAAATTATTGTCTCTACTAGACCATTGAAGCACAAAACTCTTACTGATGTATATTTCGACATTATTTTATGAAGGAAAGCGATCCATTTTGGGAGCCTGATGATGCAGAAGTGTTTATTGGCTCAGTTCATGTGTATCTTCAGAGTTTGGCCTATCAGGTGAGATTTCATCAATGACAATTTAATAAATAAAGAAGCTTTGGCTGTGCTCTGTTCTATTGTAAAGCACTTAGGAAGTGGATAGAGCACGAACAAAATGTAGGGGGAAATACGAGACGTAGTCGACTGTTTCTCTCTACTTCTTGACAGCCATTTATCAATAACGACCGTAAAAATAACTTCTTATTGACTGAGTGTGAGAACCATACTGAAGAATATTGGCGCGAGGTCGTGGCAGTACGGACCGAGTGCTGCAAGGTCCGTACAAAAACCACCGAATGCTCATATTTTTCTGTGCAGCTCAAGCAAGGAGGTTAGTAAGTAGATCATCATATGTCACTCGAACCAAACTTGTAAAATTTGAATTTGCTGGCTTTCGCGAACAAAAAATCTCGTGAAATTCGGCAGAACTAAGCTGAAGGTCGCAATAAAACAAGATATATTTTTGAAAAATTGCAACGAAGCTAGACATGTTCTTCAAAGCGACTCAAAAAGAAACGGATAACGCCTGCAGAGAGCGGGCCCGATGGAAGAATACTGTCCGCTCATGAACTGAGAAGAAAATAAAAATAGTTATGAAGTTTATTATCGCTTCCCTGGAAACGATTCATAGGACAAAATCTCCAAAGAATCAATCACGATGCTCGGTTTTACTTAAAGCTACCTTGCCATTTGATAAATAAATGTGTACACAGAAATACAGAAAACTGATTTCAGAAAAATTTCCTCTGAGATGTAACGAATTATTTGCAACGCAGATTGAAGTGGAAGAGAGCCTTGCGATAACAGACCATAAAGGAAACGAAAAGGGTAAACTTCAGGTTCGTAATGAACTAAGACCCCTTTAAATATTTTCCTCCTCAGGTTGTTTTTATATAGTAGTGTTCGTGAATTTCGAAGAGTAGTACTGAAACCATGATGTCCAAACAAGAGAAATCAAACGGGAATATTGAAAGATACGGACACACAGAAGCGGAGAAATGATCTCAAATAAAATAGGAAATACTGGGAAAATTTAGAATATAATAATAACGGTATTAGTGATAATAATAATGATTTAGCAGTGGACAATCCATAACGTGGCTATTCTTGTCCGCGAGAATTTGTAATGTTGGTTTTTGCGGGGGAAGGAAAACCGGACGACCCGGAGAAAAACCCTCGGAGTAAGAACAAGAACCAAAAACAAACTCGACCTACTTATGACGGCAGGTCCGGAAATCCAACCCGGGCCACAATGGTGGGAGGCGTGTGCTTTCACCACAGCGCTATCCCCGTTTCCCTAATCTTCAGGCAAACAATAATCAGGATTTGGAAAGATCTTTACTACCGAAGCAAACGAAATGAATTATCGAGTTCATGTTCCCCCCCCCCCCCTCGGGATAAAAGATTCACACTCAGAAACATTGACGCTGTCCAAGCCAAAACTCTCCCGCTTACAGTGAATAAAT